GCTGGGAAGGTGGCTCAGTGGTAGAGCGCTTGCCTTGCATGCATGAGGCCCTGGGTTTGATTCCTCAGCACCACATAAGCAAAAAGAAAAAAAAAGCTGGAAGTGGCGTTGTGGCTCAAGTGGTGGAGCGCTCGCCTTGAGCTGAAGAGCTGAGGGCTGAGGGACAGCGCCCAGGCCCAGAGTTCAGGCCCACGACCGGACCCAAAAAAAAAGAAAGATCCTCCTCTCTCCAGCATTGTGAAATTAGTTTTTAGTGTTTGTCCTATTCACTTTATTACTTTTTACTTATAGTAGGTTTTAAATCACCTACCCATTTTCAAATTTGATTTGAGTTGTTATTTTTAGGGATAGGGGTTTTAGCCATGGCTCAGTTGGTAGAGCAGTGCCAATGAGCAAAGTGTCAGGTACTGAATTCAAGTCCTGGTCTTGGAGCAAAAAATAAAAAATAAAAAAGATGGCTAGCCAGTTGATCTGACATCAATATTTGAACTAATCTTTTCCTTTGCCACTGACTTGAAATAGTAGTTTGTCATATTAAATTTCTATGTACATATTGATGTGTTTTGAGTGTGTTTCCTAAAGCTTCATGTGTTGGAATATTGATCCTAAGAATGGCAGTGCTGGGATTTTTAAGAGGTGAAGGATCTCTGGGGTACTGCCCTTACAAGGGATAAAAATTCAATTCTTTGGGATCCAGTTCACGTGAGAATGAGTTGTTATAGGAAAAGGAGCCTGAACCAGGCACTTGTGGCTCATGTGTATAATTCTAGATATTCAGATGGCAAAAACCTGGAAGATTAGGGATTATTCTATAGGTTCATAAATTCATTTCTCATTCATAAATTCATTTCTCTCAAATTGCATTTATAGTTATACAATTTTTAAAGTGTCATTGTTTGGTAGATGTTATTTGCTGTTTCAGCATGTATTTTAATATTTAACAAAGGTTTGTTTTATCAGAGTTCAGAGAAGCAGACTGTGTAATAGAATAGGGAACTTACAGAATTAAACTATATATAACTTGGAGAAGACTGCATATGGAAGGGGTAGCTGGAGAAGTCTTAACTGGGTCTCCAGAATCAGTGGAAATGATCTGATAAATTGGAACATTCAAGGAAATCTGGGAAGCCAGGAACAGCTAACCACTAAAGTGAGATGATGAAGGGAAGAGCTTGAAATTCTATAGGAAGTTCCTGCTGTTTATAGTTAACTTCTGTAAGTTTGCAGCCAGTATCTAGTGAGGGATTTGAGTCACTGTTTCTCACCAAGGTAGGTACTTGCTTGACATATAGTGATAGAGAAATAAACTAGAATTCTCAGGGCACCTCTACAACCTCTATATCTGTCTCATTGTATCTGACCATGAAGCTCCTCAGAATAATAGATGCTGCTCCACTTCCATATTTTATTGTTGTTTCTTTTTTTTTTTTTTTTGGGTCCGGTCATGGGGCCTGAACTCTGGGCCTGGGCACTGTCCCTCAGCTCTTCAGCTCAAGGCTAAGGCTCTACCACTTGAGCTTTTTTTCTTTTTGCTTATGTGGTACTGGGGAATTGAACCCAGGGCCTCATGCATGCAAAGCAAGCGCTCTACCACTGAGCCACCTTCCCAGCTCCTCACTTCCACATTTTAAATCTGTGAAAATTTACTTTTGGACCAACACTATCAGTCTTAAACAGTGAGATCCTGGGAAAGAGGGTCTCAACTTAATGAAATTGATACAGTCGGTCGTGGGGCTTGAACTCTGGGCTTGGGCGCTGTCCCTATGCTCTTCAGCTCAAGGCGAGTGCTCTACCACTTAAGCCACAACACCACTTCCAGTTTTCTAGTGTTTTTTTTGGATATAAAAGTCTCACAGACTCTTCTGCCCGGCTGGCTTTGATCCTTAGATCTCCTAAGTAGCTAGGACTCCTAAGTAGCTGGGATTACAGGTGTGAGCCACCAGTGCCTGGCTAATTTTTTTTTTTTTTTTTTTTGGTGCTGGTACTAGGTCTTAAATTCAGAGCCTTGTATTCCACTTGGCTTTTTTACTCGTGACTGGTGCTCATCTACTTGATCCAGTCTGTAGTCCTAATTTTTTGCTCTTGTTTTAAGTTATTTCCTCTTTTTTTTTTTTTTTTTGGGTCCGGTCGTGGGGCCTGAACTCTGGGCCTGGGCACTGTCCCTCAGCTCTTCAGCTCAAGGCTAGCGCTCTACCACTTGAGCCACAGCGCCATTTCCGGCTTTTATTCTTTTTGCTTATGTGGTGCCGAGGAATCAAACCCAGGGCCTCATGCATGCAAGGCAAGCGCTCTACCACTGAACCACCTTCCCAGCCCCGTTATTTCCTCTTTTTGCCTGAATGTTCAAAGGAGTTTATGTTTCCTGGTCTGAAGCTTGAATTCTGGGCCTGGGTGATGTCCCTGGAGTCCTTTTGCTCAAGACTAGTGCTCTACCACTTGAGCTACAGTGCCACCCCTGGATTTTTTTTTCCTGTGATTAATTGGAGATAAGAGTCTCATGGATTTTTCTTTTCTTTTTTTTTGGGTTCGGTCGTGGGGCCTGAACTCTGGGCCTGGGCACTGTCCCTCAGCTCTTCAGCTTAAGGCTAGCACTCTACCACTTGAGCCACAGCGCCACTTCCTGGCTTTTTTCTTTTTTGCTTATGTGGTGCTGAGGAATCGAACCCAGGGCCTCATGCATACAAGGCAAGCACTCTACCACTGAGCCACCTTCCTAGCCCCTCAGTTTTCATTTTTAAACATACTATAACTTCTATCCTTTTATTATGTTAAATTCTAATTTATATTTTTTATGGTTTTCTTAATTTCTCTTAGCTTATTGAAATGATTATAGTTTTAATCTGTTGGTGGACATGTCTTTTTTTTGGATCCTCTTCCTTTTATTCTGATACTCTTCTTTTATTCTGATTCATATATTTTCTGTCTCATTCTGTTTGTTTTACTTATTTATTTCTTACTTTGTATTAGCATATATTAATTAAAAAAAATCAGTTGTGAGGCTTCAACTCAGGGCCTGAGTGCTGTCCCTGAGCTCTTTTGCTCAAGGCTAGTGCTCTACTACTTTGAGACACAGCTCTACTTCCAATTTTCTGGTAGTTAATTGTATGTTTTAGAAGCTTTGTGGGGAAGCCTTGTCCCCCCTTATTTTAATGTAAATGACTGTCAGTTTGTGGCTTTCCAAGGCTCGTTTCTCTTCTTTCTTTGGGGAAGACTTGGGAAGGTTTATGAACTGTATTGTTAGCCATTTTCTGAAATCCCTTTTTAACATTATGTAATATATAGCTTCTGTTCTGTCTTCTCTATACCCCCAAAATGCTCTCCTTCCATTTAGTATTTCTTTGCTGTTTAATCACCTATTATTGTTGTAGCAAACTTGGCCATACCACTTGTTCTTTCCACTTTTACTAGACAATTCTCAAGTGGTGAAAGCTGAACTCAGATAGATCGGTTGGATTTCACAGGAAACTTACCAGAATTCTCTGTTAACATTAGAAGGATCTAATACTAACAGTAAATATATGTAGGGTGCTTAAAAATACATACTACTTTTGAACAGAGTAGAGATGATTTTTTTTTTAAGAGATCAACTTCTAGGCAGTGTGACTTCTTAACCCATTCTGTGATTTCTCCCTCAGGATATATTTCCTGTAAAGTGTATCATTGTGCAGCTGAAAGTAGTTATCTTACTTGAGTTAGTCTTAACTCCCCTGTTCCCCTCCCCTTAAGTGACTTAGTTCTGATTCTGTGAGTTATTGTTCTCTCATGAGAATGCTGGGTTAAAAAAAGAAATTATTTTGTGCTGGTCCTAGGGCTTGAACTAGGGCCTGGATGCTGTTTCTGAGCTAGCTCAAGGCTAGTATTCTACCACTTGAGCCAAAGCTCCACTTTCAGGTTTTTGGGAGTTAAGAGTCTCACAGACTTTTCCTGCCTGGGCTGGCTTTGAACCATAATCCTCAGATCTTGGCCTCTTTAGTAACTAGGATTATAGGCGTGAGCCACTGGCACCTGGCTGCATAAATGTTTAATTTTGTAGATATTTATAACTTCTAGTAGGAAAACTGCAAAAATTGAAATTGTCAAAAAATTTTATATTTGCTATAATGCTATAGTATATTGAATATTAGAGCTTGAGAAACAAATACAGATTACTATGATTGACAGCTTTCCTAAGATGACATGATTTTTAGTGAAATAAGTTGTCTTTAGTCATTTGGAAGGATAAACTCTTAACTTTTTGTTTTCCCTCAGCTCCCAATTAAAACAGGACAACAGAACACACATACCAAAGTCAGCACTGAGCACAATAAGGAATGTTTAATCAATATTTCCAAATACAAGTTTTCTTTGGTTATAAGTGGCCTCACTACTATCTTAAAGAACGTTAACACCATGGTGAGTATTTGGATTACAGTTTTTTGGTTAATTTGCTTTATTTTGATTTAGAAGTATGGAACATCATATTTTGAAAAACAGGAAATAATTTCCTATGAATTTTGGATATAATGATTTTATCTTATGAATGAGTGTAACTGTAATTTTGAACTTTAATTTTAGTTTTATATTCTTCCCCATAGAAGCTTCTTTTATTATTTATTTATTTTTGCCAGCCCTGGGGCTTGAACTCAGGTCTTAGGCACTGTCCCTGAGCTCTTTTGCTCAAGACTAGCACTCTACCACTTGAGCCACCGTGCCACTTCTGCCTTTTCTGTTTATGGGGTACTAAGGAATTGAACTCTGGGTTTCATGCATGCTAGGCAAGCACTCTACCACTAAGCCACATTCCTTGCCCAGAAGCTTCTTTTATTCATGGTATAATTTCCCTTTCCATTGTTCCCATGACTTTTTTTTGGGGGGGTACCCATATTGGGGCTTGAACTCAGGACCTGGTTACTGGTTCCTTAGCTTTTTCACTTAAGGCTAGTGCTCTACTACTTAGTCAAAGCTTTACTTCTGCCCTCCCCGCCCCAATTTTTTCTTTTTCTTTTCTCTTCTGCCCCCCCTCCCTCCCCC